GTCAAAACAACCGAGAAGCAGAGGGGCACTGCTTTACATACATTTTATCCAGATGTTGAAATGGTGTTAACGGACTAGTTAACATCATTAAAACGCTCCACTTAAGCACCTCAAAAATGAGTTTATGGAGGTAGGCACTTCCTTTGCCTGTGATAATGACAATGTCAAATATTTAAACATTGTATTTTCAAATGCAACATGGAAATCAGCCGTTTCAAAACATGCTGCCGTTTGTAGCAAAAATGTGAATGTTTAACATTACTTATTTAAGCACTGCTACCGATCATAATAATATGATCAACTTCATGTTTTTGAAAACCACTAGTAAATAAAACAATTTGAATAAGAGGAAGACCAAATTGACCTTTATTAAGTATATTTCTGTCCTGATCTTAAAAAAGAAAAACACAATCATTGAGAATTTAGCATAACTTTGAAAGCTACCACAAAACTACCAGCAAGAAAAAGCAGACAATAATTTGCGTCTCAATTTGATAGAAAATGTTTGTAGAAGGTCTCGAAGTTGCGTAGGAGGCAGAAGCTGAGTGTATTCAGCTGTAACTAGCTGCCTGGAGGCCGAGGCTGAGTGTCGCAGAGCGGCGTGCATATAGCTGATTTACAGTTAAGTCAGCCCCTCCCTCTCATCTCCTGTCAGGGGCTTCAGAAGGGGGCAAGGTGGCCTCCAGAGGAACCACATGAGAGCAGAGCAAGATGGATCATCATGTGCCACGAGAGGCCGGGATAAGCATCTGGTGAGGGGAAACGCAGACATTCCCATTGAGACCCCCCTTCCCTCTCCCAACCCACCGCGGAGCAAAGTAAAATAAACCAACCATCATGAGATTGGCTGACATGACACAGGCTGACAGTAACCTAAGCCCTAAACCCCGCCCTTTCACTAACACAACTCTTTAAATAAAGTTTTACCCTGCGACTTAAAAAAACATTGTGGTAGTATTGAGCAACGAGGGGGGGGGGGGGGGGGGGAGGGGTTTTGATTAATGCTTGTAAGCAGCCGAGCTTAGCCTTGCAATAGTTTACAAATTCATCCCGAAGGTTGGAATCAGATACTTAGATTTATTTTGGTTCCTATTGCATCTTGGAAAAGTACCCAGATTAATAATATAATATTCTATATATATATATAGTATTCTTCAATGACAAGAAGCAATGTACAAAACTAATCACTGGACACAAAAAATAACCACTTTTGTCTTATTATTATGTTATTTCTCCAACAAATTGTTAGGTACTTAGAGTAAAAATAACCACTCAAGTGTGTTTTTCTGAAGTTCAACATGGTCAGGCTTTTGTTTTAAAACCAATAGCTTTATAAAGAAATGAGAGGATGGGGAGATGACAATAGTATCATTTAATGATTAACAATGATATCACTTTTATACTGTGAGATCACTCTGAGAACAAGACACGTAGCTGCCATGTTTTTTCTAATATTGAGTATGATAAACACAGTGCATGGTGGAGGAGGAAGTCAGGAGGAAAAGAGGAGCTCCAGCGTACAGATTCTCTACTAAACATGGCAGACGGCCAAAGGGAGACAGCAGGGATAAGAGTGGTTTGGCAGTCACAAAACCTCAGTCATAATCTTCCTCCTCCACTGGGGAAGCTGTTATTTATAGCCTTATATATTGTAACCCGCTTTTTCTGCTAAATAAAAAGCTGAAGAGAAAGGGAATGCAGCTGCTTGGGGGAGTGCGTAAACAGAATTGTGGAACATTGCACAAGAAACAGCTACAGATTTTGAACGAAGCGATTACAACGCAGAAAAGTGTGTTTTAGACTTTATGTCACTGGTTCCAACTAGAGCCTGGCAGGGAAAGTCACTTTGGAAAACCACACGTGAATATTTAAAACAAGCCACAAAATGCCTGTGAGAAAACTCAACAAAGATGCCAGCACTGGGGAAAGCATCGACAAGCATGACGGATACATCAAAATGTGAGCAGAATGCACATAAGAGACATCACAAAGTGGTGTCTACTCAAATGTCTTCAATGTCACAGAGTGTTCTACACACAGGCTTCACTTGGGCCGTCCATATATTAACGGTATATTAGCGGCGGCATACCCCACAGGTATGTTTGGCGAACCATTACAGCTTGTAATTTTGTTCTAAGCTTGTTCTTTTTTTTAATAATAATAATAAGTCAGAGAAACCAAGGCTGCCCCAACACATTATGTTGTTGGTTTTCCTCATTAATGTTACAATATTTAATATATTAAATCAGAAATGTACATTTCATGATCTAGCCCAGTGGTTCTCAAACTTTTTTTCAATAATGTACCCCCTTTGAAAAAAAGATTCAGCCAAGTGCCCCCTGATCAGCGCAAAAACAATTTGTTAGGGAAAAAATGCCTATATAAAGAGGTACAGTACAGCGCTGCACCATCAGTGTCTGATTTATTAAAACAACAACATGAGAAACACTTAAATGCTACATTTCAAATGTTTACAATCCATCACTAGATTCATGGCAAACCAATTGTAACATCATGCAATAANATGTGAGTCAGACTGTTGCTCTAGACGACGTGAGTCAGACTGCTGCTCTAGATGACGTGAGTCAGACTGTAGTCCCTGTTGACGCAACAGTCTGACTCACGTCAACAGGGACTACAGTCTGACTCACGTCATCTAGAGCAGCAGTCTGACTCACGTCGTCTAGAGCAACAGTCTGACTCACATCAACAGGGACTACAGTCTGACTCACGTCTTCTAGAACAGTGGTTCTCAAATGGGGGTACGCGGACCCCTAGGGGTACGTTGGAGTACTGCAGGGGGCACGTGAGATTTATTATATGTTAATGAAAAAAAAAACATAATTAATGCATTTAAACAAACTACTAATAGTAGATGAACTACTTTATTCAAAAGTTTACAGTAATTCTGGATAATAAAATGGGAAAAAATAAACGGGGTGCTCTCTTTTCCTCTCCCTCTCCTGACAGCCCGTCAGTCTCGTGCAGCTCGCTGAACCTGTAATAAGTGACCCGACAGTAAAGAATAAACATATGTATAACTAGTTTAGCTAGTTCCAGAGTAGATAAAATTGCTAAGTGTGTTGGGTCCAACTCTTGGTGTATTTTTCTCCGCTCAACGATCCGTCACAGCGGGGGAGCTTTGATCCGGAAGAGCTGCGTGTTCTCAGTCAGCAACAGCTGATCTGATCCCTCTCACTCGCGTCCGGTTAGACTTCACTCGCGTTTATGTCCAAATCTATCAGATCTAGCTAGTTCTAGCTTATGATATGATTGCCTGCTTATCAAAGGACCTAAACAATACGCGTTGCTTGGCAACGGCGTGTGGCCGCAAAGTATAGCTGTTGTTGTTGTATGTTTATATGAGGGGTCAAAATCCCATGCTCATAAAATGCTCATATATTTTCTTCTCTTCATTCCCCACGCCCCAAAATAAATAAATATACCAATTTTAGGAAAAGTNACAAAGGTCCTCAGTGAAGCTCAAGCCCATGTTTCTCACTACATTGTAAGTACAACTTATTAAAAAGATCAGTTCAATGCAACTATAATCATCTTAGTTTTATTGCATGATGTTAAAATTGGTTTCTATGAATTTAGTGATGGATTGAAAACATTTGAAAAGTAGCTTTAAGTGTTTCTCAGTCCTCTTTATATAGGCATTGTTTTTGCGCTGATCAGGGGGTACTTGGCTGACATTTTTTTCCAAAGGGGGTACATTATTGAAAAAAGTTTGAGAACCACTGTAGAGGACCCCGGCTTTTATTGATTGTGATTGAAACACTATCTTATTATTTATTTTGTAATATTTTCAAGACATTCTTTTTAGTTTTACAGCTTATTGAACCTTTTCTCTTGACATCAGCCATAATAGATAATATGGCCATCTGAGTGTGTGTGGTACTGTTTGTGGTTTGTTTTTAACTGTGTAATAAAGTTAATTATTCAAAATGTTAGAGTTCCTTATTTTTAAACTGAGATTTGTTCAAAATAAATAAAAAACAAAACATGGTATTATGCAATTGGGATTCTTTTGCTTTTTCTTGTTGTACCGAACCCGTACCGAACCGTGACCCCCAAACCGAGGTACATACCGAACCGTGAATTCTGTGAACCGTTACGCCCTAACTACGATTAAGCTAAACACTGCAAGCTAGGCTTTTTCATGCAAAGTTTAATACCAAGCGCTTAAGCTAAACTAAGCTAAGCTAGTGGTGACAAGCCTAAACAGAATTGACTTGAGTAAAAAGTGTTGTTTGTCTCACATGTCTCACACTTGGACTCATCTGATCCGTCTGTGCAGTCATCCTTTCCGTTACATTTTAAGTTCTCCGGGATGCAGCGGTTGTTTCTGCAGGAAAACTCTCCTGGTTTGCATTTTACTAAAAGGAAATGAAACATATCAAACAGTGAGATACTCAATTTCTAACAATCAGATATTTTTAAACACTATCTGCATTATTAAGAGATATTTTCATAATGTATTCTTTCTGTGGACATGCTTGTGTAAGTGAGACGGATAGACAGATAGATTTATGGATAGATAGGTAGGTAGGTAGGTAGGTAGGTAGGTAGGTAGGTAGGTAGGATAGATAGATAGATAGATAGATAGATAGATGGATGGATAAATATAGATAAATAGATAGATGGATGGATGGATAGATATAGATAGATAGATAGATGATAGATGGATGGATGGATAGATGGATAGATAGATATAGAGAAATTATTTCGTCGCAGAAGCAGAAGTGTGTTCAGACATTGAAATACAATACTTAAAATACTTTAAATAGTGGAAAAGAGAACTAACAATTACAAATAAAATGAAAAATATTCTAAACAATATAAAATGTTCTGGTTAATTAAAATAAANGTGTTAACGCGTGTGTGTGTGTGTGTGTGTGTGTGTGTGTGTGTGTGTGTGTGTGTGTGTGTGTGTGTGTGTGTGTGTGTGTGTGTGTGTGTGTGTGTGTGTGTGTGTGTGTGTGTGTGTGTGTCAGCACCAGCTGGAGGAGGAGGCTGCAAAGCCACACGAGCCAGAACGGACGGTCTCACCGCCACCCAGCGAGGCCAAGCACCGCAGCCTGGTGCAGATCATCTACGATGAGAACAGGGTCAGTTCAAAACACACGCATGCAAACACACCACACACTCAATCTGTGGCCCACCACTCCAGACCGAATGACCTTGCATTTGAATGTGGTTTCACTTCACATATGCAGTGTATTGCTTACAAGAGAATGTCAGAAAGAAAGAGCTAGGTGCTTGGTTTCAGTGTTGATCCACTTAGATGATGCAAGATAACATTTAAACTAAGTCAGGCTGTGACATCCGCTGAATTTACTCTGTTGCCTGCTATTTATTGAATCTAAATTTTTGAAAAGAGATGCTAGTAGTTGTACATTAGGATGTTAAATGCAGCTTTTAATAAACCAGAGATATTTTACCATGAGTAAAACCGTACACTTCTTTCATTGCATTTCTTGGACAATAGTGACAAAAGTTGGATTACTCTTATGGTGTATGTCATTCTGAGCCAAAAACTGAGCTCTGGAGAGATTGATGTCTGCCTGCAGAGGAGGTTTTTTTCTTGGTGTTCTGTCATTTCCGTTTACCTTGTTAATCCTCAAAATCCCCTGTAAACAAAAGCAGAGTGTCACAGAGGATTCATCCCCTCCCTCAGCCTCCCCCTCTGTACTGTTAGGTAAGGCAGGACTCTTGCCTTGAGAATAAGCTACTAAAGGTCAACACAGCTGGCATGATGAATCACATGTGTATACACAAAAGCACACAAACATGATGTCAAACATCTTTGTCTTTTATGCAAGTAAAGCAACTTAATTATTCTTTCAAAAAAGAAAAACAAGACATTATTTGTAAGCGCACACTGAGTCCTACTGACAACAGCATTATTTGCAGCAATGCTATGTACAGATCACTTTTTATAATGAAGTGATTCTCAGTGCTCTCAGTCCCCCTAGTGGCGAAAAGTCTCCTTTTTAAAGGAATTAGCATTTAAAGCAGGGAACTCCACTCGCGCGTTTTTTTGAACAATCTTCCTATGGGAAACGAGTAATGTTACAACTTGAACGTTTTGAACTCTTACACATTCAAGGCACTTTTTCCCCCCACAGAAGTGTGGTGTGTAGAGAAAATATGCTAAAAATGGAGAACCTAGTTTGTGTGTTGGCAAGCAAACAGTCACCCTGCTTAAGTGTCATTGAGCAAGAGACTAAATCCTTTAACAGCTTCACAGATGTCCCCAGATAAACAGCATTATGCCCTGAGAAGACCTCTGTAAAGGAGCACAGGGAGTGTCCTCATGACTTTCAACACTACTGCCTTCAGGCTCAGCTAAACCACAGCACTTCAATGCAACAGCAGGACATTGTACATTACTCAAGTTATTACAATGACTCATGGCTTACGCCACAATGTAGCTTGACCTCTGTTACACTTTCCACTTCCCCCTGACTGGCAGGATGTACTATGGCCTACTGCCTGCCCTCCTGACCTCTCTCTCTCTCTCTCTCTCTCTCTCTCTCTCTCTCTCTCTCTCTCTCTCTCTCTCTCTTTCGACCTAACCAGTTTGTTCAGCTTATTTCTAGTTTCACTCAGGCTAAGCACAGTGCTACACGAACACAATAGCATTCACTAATCCACTTGTATTCATTCTTTTAGTCAATGTAGCATTTTATGTTACTAGATTTATGATTAACCTTGCCTGAAAATTACAATTAAAAAAGTTAATGCAGGATTTGATATGTTTTACAAGACATAAGGGCAGGAATTCAGAGGGGAAAGGAGCCGTTTTGAGCTCTGCTACTAAAAACAGTTTTTTTTAAACGTCATACGTCAAACGCGTCATATTACGTCACATGGGGGAGCAACTTCTCGGACTCCTTCTCTGCCCAATCCGCGGTAGTAGTTGGTAGTTGGTTTGAGCGGTTGTGATTTAGTGAGCTGGTATTTTTTCGGTAATTTTACATTGCATTTCACCATTTTTAATCATGGTGAGCTTGTGTTTGTGCAGGTTGCACAAACTCGAGCCTGTCAGGGACATCGAGTCCACAGTTTCCCTAAACAGAAAAAGGACCGGAGTTAGCTTTCGTTCTGGGTGGCGTTGTGCGAGGTGCATCCACCTCCCTGCAGCACATACTCTCCACAGCTGAAGCCAAACAAACAAAACGTTTATCAAGGAAGCCGTTATTACATCTCTCTCTCCCCCTTCGTCCTCTCTCTCTCCTTCTTCCTCTTTCTCTCTCCTTCCTTCGCTCATTCTCTCTCTCCCCTCCGGTACACAGCATCGTAAGACGTAGTGTGGAGTGCATTAGGTAACCGTGAGATACGGCTGATACTTGCGCATTCGTTTCTGTTATGGATCAGTATCAAACAGTCCTGCCAGTAACGTTACTATATTATTAATACTACTTTAGTTATAGCCTGATATATGATAGCTAACCTTACAAATGTTTGTGATGTGACTGACGTTAGCTAACAATTAACTGCTAACGCTGGTCACTCACAAGACAGCATGTGGTGGTGTGAGGAGAACTCCATCGTTTATGGGACACTGTACGCAATAGGCGTAGTTCTGTTAGTATAAATGTACTTTCTTGATCCAAAATCGGGAAATTGTGTTGTTATGAAATAAAAAACAAATATATTTTTTTAATTTCTAACTTTTTATATTTTTTCATTTTCTTTCTCCGAGCCCCCCCATTGATTG